TTAGAATATCTGCAGTCACCTAAATTTTTAGATTTTGTTAAAAAGGTCTCTATATAGTTTTCTAAGAAATGGAACTGTATTGCTAGCTATGCCTTTCACTCTGTCCCTCCCCTCTCCCCTGCACTCTTCTTTCATTAACAGGAGTGTCCCAAACAAAACTAAAAATGTCAGATTTAAAGGCAGCAGCTGCTGTTGATTTATCTGTTACTCAACTTTATATTTTATCCCCCTCAGGAAAAATGTATAAATTGGGAACTAATGTCTTTACCTCAGGTAACTGTAGGAATAATTATTGAATGCAATAGTTTTTTTAGTCAAAGTCTCCAGGTTCATTTTAGAAGTAAAAATCAAGGGTTTACTAATGAAATGATTGTTCTTTTTCCTACAGACTGGTTAAATAATTGCTCACCTTCTGCTTCTTCCTTATCTTGCATTTCCTACTATTAAATCAAAAGCAGGGGGATTTGAAAGTACTGGAAAATATTTATCTTGAAAAACCATCATTAATGATCAAAGGTCCTCTCAAGTTTTCTGTTAATCAAATTTCTTTTACAGGTCTTATGGATTTAGGAGCTAATGTGTCTATTATTAGTAAAAATAATTAGCCTCTTAATTGGCCTTTGCAAAAAATTAACATTAACTCCTTCTGGATTAGGAACCTCTCCCAATGTGTGGCAGCTTACGAATATTTGTGACTTTACAGGACCTGATGGACAAAAGGCTCAGATGCAATTTTATGTGCTAAACATCAGTGTTAATTTATGGGAAAGATTTATTAAAACAATTTGGAACTTTTTTATCTATCCCTATTTTGCCAGATGCTGTAAAAAAAATACATGTTAAATATAAATTACAATCCTTTAAAATAACAGCCACTAATCAGCAGCCTAAAGCCTTACCGCTTGCTTATCTAATGAATTCAAACTCCTATGTGAACTGGAGAGCAGCCTCTTAATTCTAAAACTTTGCAGTTATTAGTAGAAAAACAGTTATGTAAAGCTCATATATAGAACCTACTACTTTCCTTTGGAATTTTCCTGTCTTTGATATTAATAAGAAAGGTATTAAAACTCAAAAGTATATAACATAGTTAAGAAAAATAAAAAGTTAAGAATAAAGAAAAAGAAGAGTATAAAATGTAATTTAGGATATTAAGAAGAAAAAGTTATTAAAGAAAAAAAACATAAAACATAGTTAAAAATAAGAAGAAAAACGTGTTAACACAGAAATGTAAAGAAAAGTTGAAAATAAGAAGAAAAGTGTTATAATTTAAAACAGAAACCTCAAAATGCTGTTTTGTTTTTTGTCTGAATTTGTTACTGTCTCCATTTTGT